GGTGTGGGGGTGGGGTGTGGGTGTGGGTGTGGGGTGTGGGTGTGGGTGTGGGTGTGGTTATCTGCATTGCCTCTTTATCTAGACCTACACCCACACCCACACCCACCACCGGTGAGAGATTACACCGGTATAGTAATGGTTTTCTGTGCGTGGTTGCGTGGATCTCATTCGAATAGGAATCTTCTGTGGAATAACATGGTGGAATAATTACAATATTTATGCCGGTATGAAATCCACTGCTACCATGCCATCAAAACCACCAGGAACAAGATCTATCACTACTTTCGTTGAAACTCCAATGAAAAACTATATTGGGACAATGCCCAATATTCCCACCACAATGTCGAAAAGTACCATACGAAAACCACAACAGAAGGACTAATCCAGACTTTTCGTTTTTGATCCGCTGAGCTTTGCTATCTCAGTGTTCCGTAGTGTTTTCATCCCATACTTCCTATCGGTATCACTATGTCATAACATACCATCTCCTTTCTCCAAACAACTTTCGCAGTACATCTCTTTCGTTTCAGATAATTTACCATCACGAACTACTGGCTTTATCACAGATAATCAAACTGACCTCTACCTTACGTCTTACAAGCGTCTACAACATACCAGACCAGCACCTGCCTCTCTCGACCTTTTAAAACTCATGAAAGGCCATCTTACCTTTACTACACAACTGGACCACTACTAAAGGACTATGCATTCTAATGAAATAACTACCAACATCATAGAATAATGATCCTCGACGAAATGTGTACCAGCAAAAACTTCTTCAAGCACTAGTAAATACCACATGAGTTTTGATTTCATTATATCTGAGATCATTCAACTAGTATTATGCAACTTGACAATCGATTTAAAAGAGAATCGTGAAATACATCTATATATGATGGTAAATCAATTCATTCACCCACATATTCCGATTATTGGGATATATTGTTCTATTTCATATATTCGATCAAATTCTCATACATGCAATTATACGTTGGAAGTAATACATATTATTTCCGAACTTTCTATGGAATAAAATCTAGTCTGAGATTTTATAGATCAATTTATATCGAGAAGATTGGCAACCTAAAACTCGAAAATTCCATAAACTTGCCTGATGATGAACCCTTAAGCAAGGTTCGAAATGCGTCGCATGGTGCGTAGAATCTCAAATAGAAACTCACCCTCACCCTCTCGGCAAACAAAGGCTAGATACCAAAAGAAGTTGTTCATCCACTCAACTATCTTTCTCAAGCATTTGATGTTATTACAAAACATCTCATCGACATTCTCGATCAACATTGTGTATTTCAGTCACAACCATCCTTATCAACATTGATCGAACAAGCTAATCTACCATTGAAATAAGAACATTTTGGCATGCTCGATATCGTCTCTAATTTCAATGAGAAACATGGTTTCGAACAACCATCCAATGGTCAATCGACAGAAGAAGTCAATTGTGTTTCACATTATGATCCAGGATTACTCTCCATTAGTATTCTCTCAAAACATGAAGGACTTCAACTGAAAGACATGAATACAAATCAATGGATTGATGGACCATTAGAATCGGAGATTGGTGTGATCTGGTTAGGCGAAGCTGCTGCTCGACTAACAGACAATCATCTGAAACCAGGTATTGATCGGATGATCTATCCTCAAGGAGGCAAACCTCGATTGACAATGTGTTATGAAGTGTGTACAATAGCACAGCTGGAGAATCTGAGTGTTGAAAAGAAGAGTGAAGTGATGGCTGGTGGAAGTGTGACATTTGACAATCGTCCAGGATTAGGGGTGCACCAGCTCAAGCTCAAAAATTCAGCTGAGCTGAGTGAAAAAGCTGTTCGAACGTTCATTTCGGTAGGAGCTGATTGGTTTGAACAGCTCGTTCCAAAAGAGCTGATCTGATCGAACAGCTCTCGTTCCTGAACTGAACTTTTCCAACAGCTGCTTTCAAAAGAGCTGATATGATCGAACAGCTCTCATTCCTGAACTGAACTTTTCCAACAGCTCGTTCCAAAAGAGCTGATCTGATCGAACAGCTCTCTCTCTCAAGAACTGATTGACATTATGCCAAAAATACTATCCAAATATATCCCATACACTTCAACATTCGTATTAAATTGTGCCTCATAAATGCTTTAGATACCATTTCCAGACAGCGCTGAAAAACCTGTAAGTATCACTTCTGAAAAAATGATAGATAGTTAGAGTTACTAATAGTAAGTAGCTCTCGGAAAATTGTACTTATTATCTTTTAGTAATTTTTGAAAAGTTATAAAGAACTTCCGAAGATGGCCCTTGAAAAATTGTAGATGTTATTTAAAGTGAATTCAAAAAGATTTTGGATAGTATTTTTGGCATAATGCCAATCAGTTCTTGAGAGAGAGAGAGCTGTTCGATCAGATCAGCTCTTTTGAAAGGAGCTGTTGAAAAGGTTCAGTTCAGGAATGAGAGCTGTTCGATCAGATCAGCTCTTTTCGAACGAGCTGTTGGAAAAGTTCAGTTCAGGAATGAGAGCTGCTCGATCAAATCAGCTCTTTTGGAACGAGCTGTTGGAACAGTTCAGTTCAGGAATGAGAGCTGTTCGATCAGATCAGCTCTTTTGGAACGAGCTGTTGAAAAAGTTCAGTTCAGGAACGAGAGCTGTTCGATCAGATCAGCTCTTTTAAAAGGAGCTGTTCAAAGCAATCAGCTCCTACCGAAATGAACTTTCGAACAGTTCCTTCGCTCAGAACTAGAGCTGAACTATTGCAACCCTATCCAGGATCAGACTCGATCAATGTTCGAGAAGGTGAAACTAAACTCGAGTTTCTAAAACGAATAGAATTGGGATGGGGATTGTCAATAAGTAAATCGCTTCCACCATCATACCAACTCGAAAGCCATACTATTTCATATCCAACAAATGGTTTGAAAACTGAATAGACTAGACTTTTATTGATGTGTATGACATTCTTTTTTGTCTTGTGAATAAACAGTTATCCATTTCAAACGGTTCTGTAGTCCCTGGCAGTCCTGTCAATTTAGTTTTGTATCGTTGTCGCATACGTTAATTGAAGGGACCATATTTTCCGATGCAACAGTCATTTTTTCGACTTCTTTGATGATTCCAACTGCCACAGTTCGTTTCATATCGCTAATAGCGAATCGACCCAACGATGGGTATGTCTCATATGTCTCAACACACACAGGCTTTACTGGAAGAATTTTCACAATGGCCGCTTCATTTGATTTGAGACTTGTCGGAGTGATTTCAATAGTCTTGCCCGTTCTTCGATCAATTTTTTCCAACAGTTGAATATAACAACAACGAATTTTAGCTGTATGACACGAAAGGACAACAGTATAATCTTGTGTGATTTCAATTGGATGATGGAGTACAATAACCTAAACTAGAGTGAAATGCATATGTGCACTACTGACAGAGCATCTGATCTGCTTACATTAGCAATGAAACTTGCCGTCTCCTGAGCCGGATCGTTTTGTGCATCGGAACAGATGAGACCACGTCGTAATTGTTTCCGATCGACCTCTTTCACAAGGATACCAATGTTGTCACCAGGTACAGCCTCTACAAATCACTCTTATTTTCGATGATCACGAACAAAATCCGTTTACTTTCTATGGATATCTGATACATTTCGATCGCTTGAACCGTAGCTGTGATATTCGATGGAGCAAATTTAACAACCATATTCGGTCTCAATACACCTGCTTCTACTCGACCTACGACCACGATGCCAATGCCAGCGATTTTGAACACATCTTGTACAGGTAAACGGAATGGTTTGTTTATTAGTGGCTGATGTATCACGAATGCATCGAAAGCTTCGATCAAAGTCTGGCCCGTAACTATGTTTTCTGTGCGTTGAAGTATCCAACCTTGAAACCATGGCATTTTGTCGGATACTTCAAATATATTATCGTCACATCGAGCTGAAACGGGCACGAAAGCCACCTGTTCTGGCCGATAACCAACTTTGCTGATGTAATTCGACACTTCCGTTTTGATTTGATGAAAACGCTCTTCCGAGTACAAAACATCATCTGCATCCAACTTATTGACTATAACAATGAGTTGTTTTGTGCCCATGGTATATGCCAAAAGAGCCTGTTCGCGCGTTTGACCACTCTTTGACATACCAGTTTCGAATTCACCCGTACGAGCCGACACTACCAGCACGGCACAATCAGCCTACATAGTAGACAAGACTAGAGATGCACCAGTACCAGTAACTGGGTCTCCAGTCCGACTGGGTACTTAGTCATTTGACGTTTATTCCGCTAATCTATCGGTACTTCCCTCTTTTCTAAGGGTGTTGGTGTGGGGGTTGGTTTGACGTTGGTATGGATGTCGTTATTGCCATTTTAACTATTCCCGCATCCAAACAACGTCCATACCCATATCCATCAAAACAACACCCACACCCACACCCATGCACATCTACACCCTAGCCATACCCACACCCTGAAAACATGAAATTCATTTATAGTATTCTAAATTATTACGATTGATATGTAGAAATATATGATTAGCGAATGGATTTAGTATCATAACTTATTTCACTACTTGAACAGCCTAAAAATCAGTGTATGGCAATATACTCGAAAAGAAAGTACTATTCGACTAAAGGACTAAATATCGAAGGACTTAGTAGTCAGTCGCGACTGGGACCCAGTTCACCAGTCAGAACTGGGACTGGTGCATCCCTAGACAAGACACGTTATCGACGAGCTACAATTCTTGGCAAGGAATATCGAAGAGTGTTATCTACCTGTTTTCTCGGTGTGATGGTGGATTGTATAAAATCGCGATGATCAGGAGTACGGACGACCGTCATACAATACTTGTTTGTCTCGAAAGTCTTCGATGAATCCATCTATGCACGAAGACACACAGTTTATCAAATTTAGAAGAAGCGATGCTCTTACGACAACAATTTCTTTTTCACTCCTGTCCATGATTCGTCTGTCATGACGACCGCTCGAATGGAGTAGCCGGTCGACGATCGTTGTTTTACCCGTGCTGACATGACCAATAAACATTATTTTCGCATGCACTTTTTCTCTGCTCATTGCTTCTACTTGTACGTTCATGACAATAATATTTCAGTCAGTCAAAAGAAAAAGTGTGCTTAAATCATGAATGTATTGCATCAGTCTTACGCAAGACAAGTGTGTATGTGTCAAAGTGATGCAATTTCAGATCATACGCATAGGAAAGAAAAGAGAGAGATTCGAAAGACTAAATTTTATTCATAGTTTATAAAAAAATGATTAGTAAGCAATACGATTGAGATTTGTATCGAAGGTATCAGAACGACGTTCAGTTGGACAACCGATTCTTGCTCAAGTTTTCGTTGGACCTGCCTTCTAAACACCTCCTTTATGACTTGTCCGATCTTGGACGATATACTCCAAAATGGATGGCTGCTTTGGTATGACAATGGACTGGATTGTTTTGAGAACGATAGTTCATTTTCGGATAACTTAACAGAATGAATTAATTTTGACGAAGATCTAAAGCAGTATCCATCGACATTCGAATGTCTTTCTCCTGCAAAAACAAAGAAATCTTATTTAGATGTTGTCGAACGAATCATGGACAGGAGTGAAAAAGAAATTGTTGTC